ATTCCTAAGTGCAGAGCCAGGAGGAACCCCTGTGCATCACTGGGTGTGACCCAAAAAGGAAAAAAAAAACCACAGCAGCTTAGTCCTGGCTCTGCTCTTAGGGATCACTCATGTCAGGATTTGGGGGACCAAACATGGTGCCAGAGATTGCAATGCGGTTGGCTGCATGCGAAGCCTGCATCCTACCAGCTGTACTATTGATTGTTTCTTTGTTTTTGGCTTTTTTTGGCCACACCCAGCAATGCTCAGGGCTTTGCACTCAGGAATCACTCCCGGCAGGTCAACAGAACTTATGGGAGGAAAATCCTAAGACTGATCCACCCTGTGGATACAGAAAACAAACCCTGATAAGACCTTCAGCAGAACCCGAGGAGGTTGGACCCCTCCCCATGAAGTTCCTCAAACCCTAGGACCTCTCCCTTAATCTGATTAAAATGTGATCCAGCCCCGAGAAGATGCCAGAACTTCCAGATCAATACGACCCATGAAGAGCCTATAAAAGACACCTTGAACAAAGAAAGTGTGCGCATATGCTGCCCAAGTCCATGTGCTGCCCACGTGGTCCAGCACATGTGGTGCCTGAGCACATGTGTGGCCCGCGTCTCTCTCTTGAGATATATACTTTCACGCTTTCATGTCTAATGCTGGGATGTGTCTAGGGGCTCTCTCCACCCTTGGAGAAGCCCACGTTCTCTCTTGAGTGCATTACCCCCCACCCATCTCTCACTCTCTCCCTCCACACCTTCAAAAACCCTCCAAATAAAATCTCTTTTACTTCACTGCTTGTCTACTCCTGAAATTCCTTTCTGCGAGGCGAGACAAGAACCCAATAACCCCGAGTCCCAGGTGGCAGAGGTGGATGGGGAGAAAGTGACCGTCTTTCTCCCTGCTTCACATAAGTCACTCGCGGGGCCCGCTGACATCAAGATCTGCACTTTCACACACTTCCTTTCCACATCTAATGCTGGACTGTTTGTCAGGGCTCTTTCTGCCTTTGGAGAAGACCACTTTCTCTCTTGAGCGCATTATTCTCTCTTACTTCGGAAGAAGAAGGAGGAGGAGGAGGAGGAGGAGGATCCCATATGGTCACTGGGTGTGATCACTGGGTGTGATCCAAAAAAGCAAAAAAATAAATCACTATCACAGTCATCCTGTTGTTCGTGGATTGTCTCAAGCAGGAACCAGTAATGTCTCCTTCGTCCTAGCCCTGAGATTCTAAAAAGCGCCACATTCAAGGCTCTTTCAGGGTTAGGAGAATGAGACCCATCTTTGTTACTGGTATTTGGCATTTTGGGTACGCCACGGGGAGTTTGCCAGACTCTGTCGTGTGGGCAGGTTATATTCAGTAGTCTGCCAAGTTGTCCAAAGCAAGAATGAGATAATAAGATGTGGCATGGCCGCAAATGCAAAAAAAAAAGCCAGCCTCAGGGGCCATCCTCAGTGACTCTCAGCCATGTGGGAGTTGGGGCCCGCTAGAGCTGGGAACCACTAGGGCCACCAGAACAAGCCTGGGGACCTCTAGGGCCACCCCCAGAGATGCTAGGCTGGGGAGGGGGAAGGGGGCAGGAAGTGGTGCTGAGATTGAACTGGGATCTTGCGGCCTCACCTCAGTACGAGCTCTCCAGTGAGTCCTGGAGCACCGGAAGTGGACTGTTTGGGATTTGGCGGCAAAAGAAAGAAAAGTGAAAGTCAAACAGGATTCATCTGGGGCTGGAGTGGTAGCATAGCGGGTAGGGAATTTGCCTTGCATCTTGCCAAACCAGGCTCGATTCCCAGTATCTCATATGTTCCCCTGAGCACCGCCAGAAGTAATTCCTGAGTGCAGAACCAGGAGTAACCCCTGTGCAACACCGGGTGTGATCCAAAAAGAAAAAAAAAAAAAGAAATAAAAACAGGATTCATCTGCCTGGTCCATTCACCTGGCTGCTACTGACCAGTCAAGGTGACCTTAAGGTCTCACCTTGGGTCACAATCAAAGATCAAAGAAAGTGCTAGGCAGCTCCAGGATGGGTGGGTAGGGGTGGAGTGAGCTTATAGCTACCGGCTCAGGCCAGTCTGGTCCAGCTCATCCTAACCCAGGAGACTCATACATTTAGGAAGGGGTGGGGGTGAAAAAAAAGGAGCGAAATTGCAGGATGCTTTGGGCTCAGTGGGAGAGTACTTGCTTTGCCCGTATGAGGCCCCAAATCCGGGCTCCTGCGCCCCATGCCTGAGCATGGGAGCACCAGGAGGAAGTGACCTCAAGCACAGAGCCCAGAGCAGCCCCCAGGCACTGCTGGGCCCAGCCCCAAAGCAAACACTCAAGACCTTGCAAAGAGCTTGGACTGCTGTGACTGAGGACGCATTGAAAATAGAATCACAGGGGTTGGAGAGATAGCACAGTGGGTAGGGCATTTGCCTTGCACCCGGCCAACCCAGGTTCGATTCCCAGCATCCCATATGGTCCCCCAAGCACCGCTAGGAGTAATTCCTGAGCAAAAAAAAAAAAAAAAAATAGAATTACAGCCTTAGACTACTTTTTTTTTTGGCTTTTTGGGCCACACCCAGCGATGCTCAGGGGTTACTCCTGGCTCTGCACTCAGAAATTATTCCTGGCGGTACTCAGGGGACCCTATGGGATGCTGATAATCGAACCCGGGTCGGCCGTGTGCAAGCACTCCAGCCTCTCTCTTAGACTACTTTTTCTTGCCCTTTTCCAGGAACCAAGTCACCTCCATCTCCCTGACACTTCCTTCTGCTCAACTCCCAGATTTTCACTTCCTCTGTGGACCAGAAGTATTTGGGGGGGGGGGGGGTTGCAGGGTGGTTTGAGTCGCACCCAGTGGTGCTCGAGGCCAACTCCTGGTTCTGTGCTCAAGAATCACTCCCAGGGCTGGAGCAATAACACAGCGGGTAGGGCGTTTGCCTTGCACGCGTCCGACCCAGGTTCGATTCCCAGCATCCCATATGGTCTCCCAAGCACTGCTAGGGGTAATTCCTGAGTGCAGAGCCAGGAGTAACCCCTGAGCATTGCTGGGTGTGACCCAAGAAGAAAAAAAAAGAGAATCACTCCCAACAGGGCTCTGAGGACCATTTGGGGTGCCAGGAAAGCGAATATGATGCTCAGATTCGAACCATGTTTGCAGCTGCTGTAGCCACATGCAAAGCAAGTGCCCCACTGTTCTATCCCTCCAGCCCAGGTCCCTATATTCATTTATTGTGAAGTAAAATCATTTTATCTAGAGAAATATGAGGAGAGGTGGGACAGAGACAGAGAGACACATAGGGACAGAGACAGACAGACTGAGAGAGAAAGAGCTACATGTTTAAGAGAGAGAACACAGGCTTCTCCAGAGGGAGTAGAAGCCAATACAATACCTCTCATGGTGAAATGCAGGCAGGTCTCCAAGACAAAGGCTATGTCAAAATCCCAGAGTCTTTTCTTTTCTGTTTTTTTTCTTTTCTGTTTTTTGGGTCATACCCAGGGATAATCAGGGGTGACTCCTGGCTCTGCATTCAGGAATTATTCCTAATAGTGCTGGGGGAGGAGGGGCTGCAGTGGGTAGGGTGTTTGCCTTGCAAGCGGCCAACATGGCCAACCTGGGTTTGATTCCTCCGCCCCTCTCTGAGAGCCCGGCAAGCTACCAAAAGTATCTCACCTGCACGGCAAAGCCTGGCAAGCTCCTCATGACGTATTCGATATGCCAAAACACAGTAACAATTGTCACAATGGAGATGTTACTGGGCCCGCTCGAGCAAATGGATCAACAATGGGAGGACAGTGACAGTGCTCAGGGGACCCTATGGGATGCTGGGGATTGAACCTGGGTGGGCTGCATGCAAGGCAAATGCCCTACCCGTTGCGCTATCGCTCCAGCCCCAGTTTTCATATTCTTTTTTTTGCTTTTTGGGTCATGCCCGGCAATGCACAGGGGTTACTCCTGGCTTTGCACTCAGGAATTACCCCTGGCGGTACTCAGGGGACCCTATGGGATGCTGGGAATCGAACCTGGGTCAGCCGCGTGCAAGGCAAACGCCCTACCCACTGTTCTATCACTCCAGCCCCAGTTTTCATATTCTTAACAGTGCTCCTGCAGTAGTGCCAGTTATTGAAACAATATGCACAGCCACCAGAAGTTGTATCAGAGTTTAGGTTGGGGGCCAGAGAGATAGTACAGTGGGTAAGGTGTTGACTTTGCACATAGCCAACCTGGGTTCGATCCCCAGGATCCCATCAGATTCCTGGAGTACTGCCAGGAGTAACTCCTGAGTACAGAGCTAGGAGTAACCCCTGAGCTTCACTGGGTGTGGTCTACAGCCCCCAACCCCCCAAAAATTAAAGAATTTAAGTTGTTTTTTTTGGGGGGGAGGGAGAGGTCTATAGTTGGGTCACACGGGGCAGTGCTCAGGTCCAGGTCTTACTCCTAGCTTTGTACTCTGAGATCCCTGTCAGTGCTCAGGGGGCTATATGGGATGCCAGGGATCAAACATGGGTTGGCCGTGTGCAAGACAAATTCCCTACCCGCTGTACCACCTCTCTGGCCCCTCCTAAGAATTTAATTTTGCACCTGAGTGATAGTACAGCAGGTAGGGAACTTGCCTTGCTTGCAGTTGACCTGGGTTCGATTCCCGACACCCCATATGTTTCCCTGAGCACCGCCAGGAGTGATTCATGAGTGCAGAGCCAGGAGGAACTCCCTGGGCACTGATGGATGTGGCCCAAAAACAAAAATAAAAAATTTTACAAACAATTTTGTTTTAAAGTTTGTGCTTTAGGGGCTGGAGCAATAGCACAGCAGGTAAGGCGTTTGCCTTGCACACGGCCAACCCGGGTTCGATTCCTAGCATCCCATATGGTCCCCTGAGCACCGCCAGGAGTAATTCCTGAGTGCAGAGCCAGGAGTAACCCCTGTGCATCGCTGGGTGTGACCCAAAAAGCAAAAAATAAATAAATAAATAAAATAAAGTTTGTGCTTTATAAAATGTTTATTTCTTCCTTCCATTCTTGGGTACAAAAGGATTTAGTGGAAGTGACTTCCTATCTCAAAAAGGATATTAGGCGGAATCCTTTGGTAATGACACACTTGGGGAACGAATCTGAAGATGATGAGTTCATCCTGCTTTCCTTTTGACACCTTGAAACAGGAAGGGAGACCCTGGAGTGAAAACAAAAATGAGGACATTTTTCTTAATATAACTATTTTCTTTTTCTTTTTCTTTTTGGCTCATACCTGGTGATGCTCAGGGGTTACTCCTGACTCTGCACTCAAAAGAGTCACCCCTGGCCCTATGTGATGGCGAGGATCGAACCCGGGTCAGCCGTGTGCAAGGCAAACTTCCTACCGGCTGCAATATCACTCTGGCCCTATAACTATTTTCATGAATACATAAAAACAGTCATTGGGTAGGGTGGGATAGGGGGATGGGGGGAGGGAGGGATACTGGGATTGGTGGTGGTGGAGAATGGGCACTGGTGGAGGGATGGGTATTCCATCATTGTATAACTAAAACCCAAGCACAAAAATTTGTAAGTCCACAAAAAAAAAGAAAGCCAATCATAAATTACTTTGTAATTTTATGGTTATAAAAAGCAACAAATATGTGTATATATATGCACACACAAACACACACACACAAAAAAAGTCATTAGACTAGTATGTTACTGCCGTGTTTATCTACAGAATGTTATTAACTAGAACACAATGCTTTCAAAGTTTAAGTTAATATTATATATTTTGTATAAATATATATGTTTATAGTGAGCTATATATAATGAATAGTTTGAAAGCTTAACAAATGCTCTAACCTTCTAGTGACCAAAATCCTATCTTCTGGGTGTTTTCTTGTCTTTTTACTTTTAATTAATGAGCCATTGTTAAATCCAAGTCCACTTTTACTGAAAAAAAAAGTGTAAACTGAACATTTGCACATGTACAAGATGTTCAGTTTTTTTTTTTTTCCTGTTAAATTAACCTAAGTCCCTGTGTTTCTTTTGTTTGGTTGATTTTTTTTTTCTTTTTGGGTCACACCCAGCAATGCTCAGGAGTTACTCCTGGCTCTGCATTCAGGAATTACTCCTGGCGGTGCTTGGGGGACCATATGGAATGCCAGGGATTGAACCCGGGTGGGCCGCGTGCAAGACATAACGCCCTATCCATTATACTGTTGCTCCTGTCCTTGTTTGTTGTTTTTAAAGAAAATAGTCATTAGAAGATAATTGAATGACTCTAAGTGAATGCAAGTGGATGGGAAGTCAGTGATGGGAAAGAGTAAAGTCTGCAGATCCGTGGAGATTGTGTGTGTGTGACAACAACAATAATTAAATTCTAGGGGCTGGAGAGATGGTATGGTGGGGAGGTCATTGGCCTTGCACACAGACCACCTAGGTTTGATCCCTAGCATCCCATAGGGTCCCCCGAGCACCATCAGGAGTAACTTTTGAGTGTAGAGCCAGGAGTAACCCCTGAGCATTGCAAGTGTGGCCAACACCCCATACCCCTACGAAAGAAAGAAAGAAAAAAAGAAAGAAAAGAAGGAAGGAAGGAAGGAAGGAAGGAAGGAAGGAAGGAAGGGAAGGAGGAAAGAAAGAACAATAATTAAAATCTAGGGCCAGAGAAATACCTCAATGGGCTGAAGTTGAATACTGCATCCCCAGCAATGCGTGGTCACCTGAGCACCACCAGGAGGGACCCCTGAGCTTTGAGTTAGGAGCAGTTCCTAAGTCCTGAAGGTGTGGTCCCAAACCAAAACACATATACCCCCAAATCTCAAGAACATATGATAACTGGGTCTAGATATATCTTACAGTCATTTATCAGTACCCACAATTTTTTGGAGGAGGTCACACCCAGTGATGCTCAGGGGTTACTCCTGGCTTTTCACTCAGGAATCACTGCTAGTGATGCTGGAGGACCATATGGGATACTGGGAATCGAACCTGGATCAGCCGCATGCAAGGTAAACGCCCTACCTACTGTGCTATAGCTCCAGCCCCACAAATATTTTTAATGGACCAACTTGTCAAATAACTGAGTAACTATCTACATATCAAAGAAGTGGTGAGGGAAATACTTGTCAAAGTGAAGAGGAAAGAAATTTGCAGAAGGCACCATTTGGACATCTTGATCTGCCCCGTGTCACTTACTAGAATCACACAGTGTAGTTCCAATGCATACAGCCCCAGGAACAGAGGCGGGTACCTTGGGCATTGGTGTTCTCCGCCAGGCGGGTAGTTCACGAAATTCCTCCAACAGTAATCATACTCTAAGGAAACACATAGTTCACATCATCCCATCAATACAACAGAAATTTACTTCAAGAGCCCGACTTGTGGGAAAAAAATAATTCAAGGGTAAAGATGCCGTCTGACTCACTCATCTGTCACTGTCACTGTCCTCCCGTTGTTCATCGATTTGCTCGAGCGGGCCCAGTAACGTCTCCATTGGAGACTTTGTTGTTACTGTGTTTGGCATACGAATACATCATGGGTAGCTTGCCAGGCTCTGCCATGTGGGCGAGATACTCTCGGTAGCTTGCCGGGCTCTCCGAGAGGGGTGGAGGAATCGAACTCGGGTCGGCCGTGTTGGCCGCGTGCAAGGCAAACGCCCTACTGCTGTGCTATCGCTCCAGCCCAGAGCATAATTTGAATCCCTGTCAGTGAACATACCCCAGGAGTTAGCCCAAAGCAAAGTTTTCTTTTTTTTTTATTTATTTATTAATTTATTTATTGAATCGCTGTGGGAAAAGTTACAAAGCTTTCAGGTTTAAGTCTCGGTCATGCAAATATCAAACACATTTGCCTTTCCCAATACTTATTTTTCACCATGAAGAACCCCAATAAACCCCCCCACCCTCCCAATGCCTATGAGGCAGATGAATTCTAGATAACACTCTATCTACTTTGATTAGATTCATTGTTTCGACAATGATGCACCATTATTATTTAGAGTTTACACCCCCAAATCAGACATGCTGAAAAGGCATTGTGAAATAATTTGTTTTCTACAGCTGGTCACAAGAATTAAATGATGTCACGCGGCCGCAGTAGTGGCCGCGCGATTTTGGATTTCTGGTATTTTACTTATTAAGCCTGGAAGTATTTCTGCCGAGAGTCAGATAATTATGAGATTGGTTTCTGTGCTCTGGAGCCATGGCCATGCGGGAGAGACGCTCGTGGGGGGGGGGGGGGGCAACTCATGACCTCGGTAGGGCGTGAAGGATGAGCCGGGAACGCCCCCCTTCCCATGAGGTTTCAGTCGCCCCATCATGAACGGCTCATACCTGGCCTTCCACAAAGCTCCAAAGCAGCTGCCATCTTTCTTTCCAGAGGGAAAAAAAGCCAAAGCAAAGTTTTCTTGCCAAAAAAAATAAATAAATAAAGGCAGCGCCAAAGAGTGAGTACAGTGGGTAGGGAGTTTGCCTTGCACACGGCTCACCCAGGTTTGATCCTCAGTAACCCATAAGGTTCCCTGAACCCTGCCAGGAATGACTCCTGGGCCCAGAGCAGGAATAAACCCTGAGCTCACCTCCAGGTGTGTCCCCAAAAAATAAGCAAACAAAAACTACAACATATTTAAAAAAAAAAATGCAGGGCTTAATTGAGAGTACAGCAGGGAGTGTGTTTGCCTTACACACATTCCCTGAGCAGAGCCAGGAGTGATCCGTGAACACAGCCAAGTGTGACTCAAAGCAAGACAAAACCAAAAGAGTTTAAAGTTTTTAAATTAAAAAAAAAATTTTGGCTTTTGGGGTCCCACCCGACAATGCTCAGGGGTTCTCCTGGCTCCGCACTCAGGAATTCCTCCTGGCATTGCTCCGGAGATCACATGGAATGCCGGGGATTGAACCCAGGTCAGCCGCGTGCGAGGCAAATGCCTTATCTGCTGTATTATTGCTCCATCCCTAATAAAAAAAAATTTTAATTAAGAGGGGCCAGAGCAATAGCAGAGTGAGTTGGGCATTTGCTTTGCATGTGACTCACCCTGGTTCTATCCCTGGTATCCCATAGGGTTCCCTAAGCATGGCCAGGAGTAATTCCTCAATGAAGACCCAGGAGTAACGCCTGAGCATCATTGGGTGTGACCCAAAAAGGAAAAAAAAAAGTGAAGAAATAAACAAAACAAAAAGAAGAAGAAATTATGGCCAGAGAGAGCTCAAAGGGCTAAGTGCATGAAGAAGGTTTAATTCCTGGCACCAGATGGTTCCAGAGCACCACCAGGTATCACTGTATCACTATATCACTGTCATCCCGTTGATCATCGATTTACTCGAGCGGGCACCAATAACGCCTCCATTCATCCCAGTCCTGAGATTTTAGCAGCCTCTCCTTACTCATCTTTCCTAATGCTGCCGTATTGGAGGCTCTTTCAGGGTCAGGGGAATGAGACCCGTTATTGTTACTGTTTTTGGCATATTGAATACGCCACAGGTAGCTTGCCAGGCTCTGCCATGCAGCACCACCAGGTATGACTCCCAAACCAAATAAATTCATAAGAATATACCACATAGCGCATATGCTGCCTGAGCCCATGTGCTGCTTGCGCCCACGTGGCTGAGCACATGTGGTGCCCGAGCACATGTGTCGCCCGCATCTCCCCTCCTTTTTTTTTTTTTTTTTGCTTTTTTTGGGTCACACCCGGCAATGCACAGGGGTTACTCCTGGCTCTGTACTCAGGAATTACCCCTGGCGGAGCTCAAGGGACCATATGGGATGCTGGGAACCGAACCCGGGTCGGCCGCGTGCAAGGCAAACGCCCTACCCGCGGGCATCTCCCCTCTTGAGATGTGTACTTTTATGCTTTCGTGTCTAATGCTAGGATGTGTGTAGGGGCTCTCTCTGCCCTTGGAGAAGCCCATGTTCTCTCTTGAGTACGTCACTCTCTCTCCCTCTCTCTCCCTCCACACCTAAAAATCCTCCAAATAAAATCTATTTACTTAAAAAAAAAAAAACCATATATAGGGCTGGGTAGCTCTCTGGCACATTGGAGAGACCTCTCAGATCTGAAACCTAGGACTCCTTGTGCTCAGGGCTCACTCCTGGGGGTGCTTGGTAGACCACGTGGGACCAGGGATTGGGTACCCAGGGTTTTCCCACATGCAACACGAGTGCTCTAACCCTGTGAACTATCTCTCTCACGTTTTTCCTTCTTCCTGTACCTGAGGCTCTCATCGTCTGGATGGTCACTCCGCTGTTAATGAGCTCCCGAAGTCCTTGCCGGTTCTGTCCATCCATGTGCCAGTAGAGTCGTGCCACATAAATGACGAGAGTCACACTTGGGTGCTGAGTCACAAACTCTCGGATAGTCTTGGAGCATTCCCAGCAGGGACTCCAGGACAAGAACCAGGTGATGGAGCAGCGGACTGAGGGATGGAAATGCCTCTCTGTGGTCAGCCTCTCTAGGAAGTTGATCTCGACGTGCTGGGTGGTGTTCCTGGCTGTGTGCGTCCATTTGCTCTTACTGCCCCACTGGACTTCGTAGAGCAGGCAGGCTTCCTTCCGGAGCTGTCTGGGGTCGAAGAAATTCTCAAACTCCCAGGGTTCAATTCTTCTCCTGAAATAGAAAACAAGAGGAGGGGGGTGCCTGGTGGGCTTCTGATGACAGAGGGACTACAGGCTACTCCACCCCACTCTCTTTCCTGGATTCCCATGGACAGGAAGTTGACAGATCTTTCTTTTGCTCGCTTTTGGGGATTTTGTGCGTGTGTGTTGTTTTTGTTTGTTTTATGGCTTATACCTGGCAATGCTCAGGGGTCACTCCTGGCTATACCTGGCAGTGCTCAGGGGTCACTTCTGGCTCTGCACTCAGAGATCACTCATGGCAATGTTTAGGGGACCATATGGGGTCACTGTCTCTGTCACTGTCCTCCCACTGTTCATCGATTTGCTCGAGCGGGCCCAGGAACGTTGTGAGACTTGTTACTGTGTTTGGCATATCGAATATGTCACGGGTAGCTTGTCAGGCTTTGCCATGCGGGTGAGATACTCTCGGTAGCTTGCCAGGCTTCTGAGAGGGGCGGTGGAATTGAACTCGGGTCGGCCACATGCAAGGCAAATGCCCTACCTGCTGTGCTATCGCTCACCAGGGGTAAAACCCAGGCTGACACATGCAACGCAAGTGCCCTGCCCACTGCACTGTACTCTCTCTCTCTCTCTCTCTCTCTCAATCTCTCTCTCTCTCCCCCCCCAAGTGGACAGATATTAACTAAAGAATATACCCAAATTCTCCAAATTAGCCAAAGTGATTTTGCAGGGAAGAAAAAAAAAAAGATGGGCAAAATTGCATGTTCTGACTTTAAATTTTACTGTATTTTACTATGTTTTAAAGTTTTTTACTATGTTTTAAAGTTACAGGAATCAAAACTGTGTGGTACTGGAATAAAGATAGACTCTCAGACATTGGGCCGTGTGCCTTACCTGCTGGACTATTACTCCAGACCCAACACCAAACCCCCTTTGAAAGAGTCTCATTAAGGATCAGAGTGATAGCACAGCAGAAGCTTGCCTTGCATGCAGCTGACCAGAACTCGGTCCCCAGCATCCCACATGGTCCCCTCCCTGCTCCCTGACAACCACTAGAAGTAATTCCTGAGTGCAGAGTCAGGAGGAACCCCTGAGCATCGCTGGGTGTGACCCAAAAAAGAAAAAGAAAGCCAAAAAAATTAATAAAAGAATCTCATCATCTTCCTTTTTGTGTTTGCTTTTTGTTTTGGGACCCACCTAGCAGTGCTCAGAGGTTACTCCTGGCTCAGCACCCAGGAATCACTCCTAGCTTGGGACACCCTATGGGATGCTGGGGATTGAACCAGGTCAGCTGTGTACAAGGCAAATGCCCTCCCTGCTGTACTACTGCTCCGGCCCTCACTCTATCTCATAGGGCTAGGTGGTTTGTTGATTTATTTTTTGGGGGGGATACAGGGGCAGGGTTGGACCATACCCAGCAGTCCTCAGAGGCGACTTCTATCTCTGTGCAGAAGACTCATTCCTGGTGATGTCCAGGAAAACGTAAGGCATCGAGGATCAATTTGGTGTTGGCTGGTGCTGGTCAAAACTTATCTCTCCCCAAGAACAAGGGGGAGTGCCCTGCCACAGAGGCAGGGTGAGATGGGGGGGATGGGGGGGTGGGAGGGATACTGGGATCAGTGGTGGTGGAGAATGGGCACTGGTGGAGGGATGGGTATTCGATCATTGTATAACTGAAACCCAAGCACAAAAATTTGTAAATCTACAACTGTACCTCATGGCGTTTCACTAATATAAATCTAAAAAAAAAAAAAAACAAAACTTATCTCTCCCTTAACTCTCTGACTTGCCTACCTCCATTTCTTTACAGCTAACCAAATCATCAGCAGGCGTTGTAATGTGGACTGTCCCCAGTGAAACACCAATGTCATTGCAGGCAGCTGGACTGAGTAGTAAAGTGAAACCTATCCTCGCAAGGGTGGCAATTAGCACTCGTGAGACTGAACACTATATGACAAGTCTTGAGTCATAGTTTATTATGTCTGTGGGGAGCCCACTCATCCCAAAGGTCTCTCCTGTGTTTATTACAGATTAGACCTCCCTTCCACCGAGCTGACACAGTCACTGTTAATAGTCTCCAGTTTTAATGATATGTTTAGAAAAGGAGACTATTCTATAAAGTAATACCAAGGGGCTGGAGTGATAACACATCGGGTAGGACGTTTGCTTTGCACACGGCCAACCCGGGTTCGATTCCCAGCATCCCATAGGATCCCCCAAGCACCACCAGGAGTAATTCCTGAGTGCAGAGCCAGGAGTAACTCCTGTGCATCGCTGGGTATGATCCAAAAAGTAAAATAAATAACTAAATAATATCAAAGTCGCATATATATAAGAAAAATGCATCTCCCCTGTGACTTTACAGACAGAGCTGGAAACTATGATTTTTGTTTGTTTTTCTGGGCCACACCTGATGACCCCAAAACGAAAACAAACAGAAAAGGAATTTAGGGTCAGAGAGATAGTACAGAAAGCAAGGCTGGGGGTCAGAGCCATAGTACAGCGGGGAGGGTGTTTAACCTTGCATGCAGCCGACCCAGGTTCGATTGTCGGCATCCCATATGGTGCTCTGAGCACCACCAGGAGTGATTCCTGAGTGCAGAGCCATGAGTAACCCCTGAGCATTTCTCAAGTGTGGTCCAAAAACAACAACAGAAAGGGGGGAGCGTGCTGGAGAGATAGTCAAGCAGGTGGGGCGCTTGCCTTGGATGCAGCCAACCTGAATTTGATCCCCGGTACTTCGTATGGTACCCCGAGTCTGTCAGGTGTGAAGCCTGAATGCAGAGCCAAGAGCAATCCCTGAGCACCACGATATGTGTTCCAAATTCAAAAGAAAGAAAGGGGGAAAAAACAGGAGCAAGGAAAAGAGAAATGGCAAGCTAAGAGACTAACTTCTAACTATAATTGGGCAAGGAGCCGTAGTAGACTGGGTAGGGCACTTGCCTTGCACACAGCTGACCCAGGTTCAATCCCCGTTATCACATATGGTCCCGTGGGCCCATCACTCCTGAGTCAAGCATTAGGCGTAAGCCCTGGTGATATTAGGTGTGGCCCCAAAGTTAATAATCGGTCACTGCCACTGTCATCCTGTTGTTCATCGATTTGTTCAAGCAGGCTCCAGTAACGTCTCCATTTGTCCCAGGCCTGAGATTTTAGCAGCCTCTCCTTACTTGTCTTTCCCAATCCTGCCATATTGGAGGCTCTTTCAGGGTCAGGGGAATGAGACCCGTGATTGTTACTGTTTTGGGCATATGCCAAAGTTAATAAAATAATAATAATAATAATATATTATATATAATATATAATAATATATAATATATTATAATATATAATAATATATATAATAATAATAAACAACTAATATATAAGTCAAAACCTTTTAACCACACTCTTCTTGAATTATATGCATTCTATCATTCTTACCTCAAGGCGGGGCTGGAGCGATAGCACAGCGGGTAGGGCGTTTGCCTTGCACGCAGCCAACATGGCTGACCCGAGTTCGATTCCTCTGCCCCTCTCGGAGAGCCCGGCAAGCTACCGAGGGTATTTGATATGCCAGACACAGTAACAACAAAGTCTCCGATGGAGACGTTACTGGGCCCGCTCGAGCAAATCGATGATCAACGGGAGGGCCTTTACTTACTTTACTTACCTCAAGGTAGGATCTGCAGCTGAGGAACCTGTTGACCCAGAGATGAGCATGTCAGACAAATCCATATACACATAGAGATACTAAGGGGAAAGTTGCTTCTTCGAAATCCAACCAAGCCATAGTAGAAAATAAAATTTTAATTTTTTTCTTTTCGGGTCACACCCAGCGATGCACAGGGGTTACTTCTGGCTCTGCACTCAGGAATCATTCCTGGCAGTGCTGGGGGACCATATGGGATGCTGGGGATCGAACCTGAGTTGGCCACATGCAAGTTCCTGCTGTACTATCACTTCGGCCCTCAAAAAAAAATTTTTTTTTCTAGGCTGGGCTAGATGCTTGCTTGCTTGCTTGCTTGCTTGCTTGCTTGCTTGCTTGCTTCCTTCCTTCCTTCCTTCCTTCCTTCCTTCCTTCCTTCCTTCCCTCCCTTTTCTTTCTCTTTCTCTCCTTTATTTTCTCTTTCTTTCTCTCCCTCCCTCCTTCCCTTCTTTCTCTTTCTTTCTTTCTTTCTCTTTCTCTTTCTTTCTCTTTCTCTTTTTTCTTTCTCTTTTCTTTCCTTGTCTTCCTTCCTTCTTTCCTTCCTTCCTTCCTTCCTTCCTTCCTTCCTTTCTTCTTTCCTTCCTTTCTTTCTTTCTTTCTTTCTTTCTTTCTTTCTTTCTTTCTTTCTTCCTTTGAGGGGGACATTGTTTGGGCCACACCCAGCTGTGCTCAGGGCTTCCTCTTGTAATCTGGGGTTCAGAGAATTGAACCCAGGTCAGCTACAAGCAAGGCAAGTAAGTGCCCCACCTGCTGTTCTAGCATTCCGTCCGACGCATCACTGAGAGTCTCAACAGAGGGAGAAGGTCCTGGAGTCACCATCGCTGTGTGCGGGAGAACCCAAACCAGAGCTCCGTCATTAGCCCCCACCCCCACCACGTGCTGGTGGCCAGGCCCGTTAGCCTGCTGTTGGAGTAAGGGGCTTCAGTTGACCTTTCAGCTGTTTCCAGATTCGCCAGGTTTCCTTTGCTCCAAAAGAAACGGGGCTTGGGACTAGAGAGATAGTACAGCGGGTAGGGTGTTTGCCTTGCATGTGGCCGATCCAGGTTCGATTCCTGTTATCCCATAGGGTCCCCTGAGGACTGCCAGGAGTGATTCCTGAGTGCAGAGCCAGGAGTAACCCCTGTGCATCTTTGGGTGAGAAAGAAAGAAAGAGAGAAAGAAAGGAAGGAAGGAAGGAAGGAAGGAAGGAAGGAAGGAAGGAAGGAAGGAGAGAAGGAAGGAGAAGGAAGGGAAGGATGGAAAGAAGGAAGGAAGGAAGGAAGGAAGGAAGGAAGAAAGAAAGAAAGAAAGAAAGAAAGAAAGAAAGAAAGAAAGAAAGAAAGAAGAGAGAGAGAAAGAAAGAAAGAAAGACAGAAAAAGGGCTGGACAGTAACACAGGGGTTAAGGCATAGCCTTGAATGCCGCAGACCCAGTTCCATCCCGGGGATCACAATGTCTTCTAGATACAGTTGGGTCTGGGATTCCCCCCACCCCATATCCCAATACAGCTGATGTCCACACCTCAGAACTCAAGTGGCAAAGTATCCCCCAGAGAATGGGAGCACCCCTCTTTCCCCAGCGAAGGGGAGCACCCCTCTTCCCCCCAATAAGCAACTTCAACTTGCTTGATCTGGTACAAAGACCCTCAGCATAGAGGGGCCAAAAAAATAGTACAGCAGGTACTACACTAGGCTTGCACACGAACCACCTGGGTTCAATCCCTGGAACCCCATAGGGTTCCCCCAAGCCCGCCAGGGCCAACCCCTGAGCACAGAGCCAGGAGTAAGCCCTGAGCAGTGGGTGTGTCTGAAATAAGCAACAAGGAAAGACTCTGGAATTTGCCTGTCCAGCCCCCACCCCGCCCCCAGCCCCTCTTACTGCTCCCAGAGGTCATGGCGCTCTGTCACCGGTTGGTCCTGCTGTGCCGAAGTGAAACTCAGGCAGCCATGTGACAACGGGCTTATTCTGTGTCACTGCTGCCATCGACTCCACCGAGGGGTGACTCAGTTCTGAGTTTCAGGAAGTTCCTGGGTGCCTCTGCTGGACACTCAGCAGCCAATCAACTTGCTTTAGGAGTTGGCCTCAGTGCGTCGGTGACGAAAGTTTATGGTGCGAATCACGTCGATTCTGAACTGTAGCTCATGGAGGCCCCACTCATTCCCAAGTTCTTCCCGTGACATCTGGCCTCAGGATCCTTTTATCCATTCCAACGAAGTAGGAGTGGCCCAGGGTCCCTTTTCTGGAGAGAAAAACATGAAGAACAGAGAGCAGGAAGAACACACAGCATCTCGCCCTTAGATTGTATTCACCTGATTATCATTTCCTCTTAGTTTGCTCTTTGCCCTGAAACCCTCGGAGGAAAGGGAGAGTCACTTGAGCTGCAAAATCAAAAGGACTTTGGCTGCTGAGTCAGATAATTAGCACACACACTGAGGGGAGCTCTCTTCCTCCTGGAAACTAGAGCTAGGGTATGGCCAAATGCACTGCAGTGAAAAGGTGAATACTCTAGCCCGTGTTGCTGCTAGCCCTGGGGCCTGGACATCCAGGGGGACTCCTCTGCGTCATTTCTTTCTTTCTTTTTTCTTTGGGGGGGGGGGTCACACTCAGTGATGCTCAGGGGTTACTCCTGGCTCTGTTCTCAGGAAACTCCTGGTGGTGCCTGGTGCACTCCATATGGAATGCCGAAGATCAAACTCAGATCGGTTGTGTGCAAGGCAAATGCCCTCCCCGCTGGACTATCGCTCTGGTCCATCCTCTGCATTTCTGCACACACTCCGAGATCACAGCTCCATCCCTACCTTATCCTGGCTCTGTGCTCAGGGATCACTCCAGGTGGAGCTTGGGGGACTATATTGGGGACCAGGGATCAAACCAGGGTTGGCCATGTGCAAGGCAAGCTTCTTTTATTTATTTATTCATTCATTCATTTAGGCTTTTTAAGTCACACCCAGAGATGCTCAGGGGTTACTCCTGGCTCTGCACTCAGGAATTGCTCCTGGCAGTGCTCGGGGGACCCTATGGGATGCCGAGGATAGAACCCAGGTCAGCCGAGTGAGTTCGAGGCAAATGCCCTACCCACTATACTATCACTCCCAAGGCAAGCGTCTTACATGCTATGCTATGGCTCCAAGCCCTCAGTTGACTCCTTTGGGAGCTAGAATTGGTCACCCTCAAATATGTTTTAAGGAAAGGGCTTTTTTTAAGTGAGGGGCTCTGAAGGCAGAAAGGAGGTGACTTAAGTAGTACTTGACAGTCATTCCCAGCGGCTGCCAGGAACGATCTAATAATGGAGAAGAACTTAGGGGCTGGAGCAATAGTACAGCTGGGAGGGCATTTGCCTTGTAAGTGGCCGACCTGGGTTTGATTCCCGACATCCCATAGCATCCTCTGAGCACTGCAAAGAGTAATTCCTGAGTGCAGAGCCAGGAGTAACCCCTGAGCACAGCCAAGTGTGACCCAAATACCCCCCGCCCAAAAAAAGAACTTATTAGTAATCTCTTTCTTCTTCCTGAAATCTTCTGCCTTAACAACATTGAAAGATTTTAAGATTTTGTAGGCAGGAGAGATAGTACAGTGGGTAAAGCACTTGCCTTGCACACAGATGACCCAGATTCAATCCCTGGCACCTCATAGTATCCCCTGAGCATGGCCAGGAGCGATCCCTGAGCACAGAGCCAGGAATGAGCCCTCAGCACTACAGGGTATGACCCCAAGTTTTAAAAAAAAAATCATCAATAAAGATGATATCTTGACAGGAGTATAGCTGAATATGTCGGGGTACAGGCTTTGCATGCTGGGGGTCTGGATGGTCTCCGACACCACATGGTTTCCCGAGGACTATTAGGAGTGAGTCTTGGGCACTGTTGGGAGTGACTCCCAAACACTGTTTAGGAGTGATTCCCAAGCACTGTTACGAGTAACTCCATGCACCAAGGCAGGAAATCCACTGACTGCCATCAAGTGTTGGTCCAAAACCAAAACAATTTTTTTTTTTGCTTTTTGGGTCACACCCAGTGATGTTCAGGGGTTACTCCTGGCTCTGTACTCAGGAATTACTTCTGGTGGTGCTTGGGGGACCCTATGGGATGCCGGAGATTGAACCCAGGTTTGCTGCATGCAAAGCAAACGCTCTCTCTGCTGTACTATCACTCCAGCCCCCAAAACCAAAACAATTTTTGAAGATTTATTTATTTAGGTTTTGGGACCACACCCAGTAGTGCTCAGGGAGTCATATGAGGTACCAGGGATAGAACTGAGGTTGGCCACATGCAGGCAAATGTCTTACCTGTTGTCCTATTGTTCTTGTCCCCCCAAAACAATTTCTAAGGGCCTGGAGAGATAGCATAGAAGGCAGGGTGCTTGCCTTGTGTACGGCCAACCTGGCTTCAGTCCCTGGAACCTCAGTGTTCCTGATTTTCACCAGGAGTGATCACTGAGCACAGTCCCATACTCACTGTCATGAGTAAACCCTGAGCACCACCGGGTGTGGCTGAGAAACCAACACACACACACACATACACAAACAAAAAAACCTACCAAAAACAATAAAGAAAAAAAAGCCTAAAATTTTTATTGTATTTTAAATAGATGTATATTTTTTATTGAATGACAGTGAGATACACAGTTACAAAGTTGATCATGATCAAAAAATCCTGCAATTTTTTTTTTCTTTTTGGGTCACACTTGACGATGCACAGGGGTTACTCCTGGCTCTGCACTCAGGAGTTACTCCTGGCAGTGCTCAGGGGACCATATGGGATGCTGGGAATTGAACCCGGGTCGGCCGCGTGCAAGGCAAATGCCCTCCCCGCTGTGCTATCTCTCCAGCCCCAACCCTGCAATTTTAAAAAATAAAGATGATTCCAAAGACCATGTGGGCAAGACACTAAGCTTTCCTGGTTCTCTCTCTGTGTGCCCTTATTGATGAAAGAACCCCTTGAAGCGGGCATGAGTGATGGGTTAGTAAGAAAATTTGCCCCAACAATAGGCCTGGCAAAAGCAAAGTGGGATATTTATTAGAGCTGCATGGGCCACATTAGACGCAGCAGAGAACTTCCTAAGAGGGAGACCTGCCAGGATATTTTGGGGCGAACTTTTTAAAATTTATTTTATTCAGCTTTAGGAAAACACCTGGCAGTGCATAGGGCTTACTCCCGGCTCTGTGCTCAGCGGTCACTCCAGGTGTGCTGGAGGAATCCATGTGTGATATTCGGAATTAGACTGAGTCTGGCCACTTGCAATTTTTAGGTCACATCCGGTGATGCTCAGGGGTTACTCCTGACTCTGCATTCAGGAATTACGCCTGGAGGTACTCGGGGGACCATATGGGATGCTGGGGATTGAACCATCAAACCGGGGCCAGCCGCATACAAGGCAAATGCCCTCTTGGCAATACTATCACTCTGGTCCCTAATCCCTGTTTAGTCCCTGTACTATCTCTCTGGGCTGGAGCAATAGCACAGCGGGTAGGACGTTTGCCTTGCATGCAGCCGACCCAGGTTGGATTCCTCTCAGAGAGCCCGGCAAGCTACCGAGAGTATCCTGCCCGCATGGCAGAGCCTGGCAAACTCCCCATGGCGTATCACAATGGAGATGTTACTGGTGCCCGCTCGAGCAAATCGATGAACAACAGGTGGACAGTGCTACATCTCTCTCCAACCCTTGGGAGCTCTCATTATCCTTATGGGAGGAAGTTTTATTTCAGGAATATTGTGAGTTTGGGGTTCTGTAAGTCGGGGATTTTGCCACTGACCGTTAACTAAATGGAGAAGTTGTTGTAAATTCTAAGTTCATTTGGGTCCTTGATTGTGTCTCAACAGTTTCACCTTTGTGTAAATTGGAGGACCTTTCTCCCCCCGAAGCCCCCACAGGAGTGATCCCTGTGATGGAACCAGAAGTAAGCCCTGAGCATAGCCAGGTGTGACCCAAAACCCGACCAAACCAGCTTCTATCTGATTTGCCCTAGAGATAGTACCTGCTTCAAGTTGCTGACCTGAGCTCTGACTCCCAGCATCTCATAGGGTACAGTTAGGTGTGGCTGACAAACCAACCAACCAATAAAGGGGGAGGGGGTGTCTTTCATGGGATTTGAGTCAAAGCATGTTTGTAAATTGTGGACTTAACCACAGTGAAATTATTTTCTTCTCAGGGGCCAGAGTGAACGCACAGCAAGGAGGGAGTTTGCCCTGCATGTAGCTGACCTGGGTTCAAATCCCAGCATCCCATAGGGTCCCCTGAGATCTCCAGGAGTGATTTCTGAGCACAGAGCTGGAGTAACTCTGATCATCGTCAGGTGTGATCCTAAATAAATAAATACATTAACCACTCTAATATAAGTAGAACAATAATTTTCATTTTCTCTCTTATTCATGCTTGCTTTTTTTCTTTCTTTCTTTTTGGGTCACACCTGGCGATGTTCAGGAGTCACTCCTGGCTCTGCATTCAGGGTTGACTCTTGGTGGGTCTCAGGGGACCCTATGGGATGACAGCGATCTAACCCTGGTTGACCATGTGCAAGGCAAATGCCCTACCTACTGTATTATTCTCCAGTTCAGTTCATGGTTTGTTTGTTTGTTTGTTTGTTTGTTTGTTTGTTTTGCTTTTTGGGTCACACCTGGCGATGCACAGGGCCTACTCCTGCTACTCCTGGCTCCTGCACTCAGGAATTACCCCTGGCGGTGCTCAGGGGACCATATGGGATGCTGGGAATCGAACCTGGGTCGGCCGCGTGCAAGGCAAACGCCCTACCCGCTGTGCTATCTCTCCAGCCCAGTTCATGTTTTTTTGATTATTGAAAGAACCCAGGTTAGGGGGGTAGAGACAGAGCAATAGCAATAGTACAATAGTACCTCAATTAATAATTTTCCTCTCAGAGGCCAGAGTGAAAGTACAGAGGAAAGGGTGCTGACTTTGCATGTAGCCAACATAGGTTTGATCCCCGGTATCCCATTGGGTCCCCCCGAGTCCCACCAGGACTGATCCCTGAGCACAGAGCCAGGAGTAAGCCCTGAGCACCACACTAGTTACGGCCACCAAACAAACAAAAACCCAAAATGATCTCCTTTTTGCCCTGTGCTCAGATACGCTTCAGGGGACTGTACGGAGGCTGGCCCTGATTTCTTTCTTTCCTTTTGTCAATACTTTTATCTTTTATTTCTTTTTGGGTCACACCCGGCATTGCTCAGGGATTCCTCCTCCTAACTCTGCACTCAGGAATTACTCCTGGTGGTGCTGGAAGGAGTTGGGGGAACTATATGAGATGCCAACGATCGAACCCGGGTCGGCCACGTGCAAGACAAATGCACTCCCTACTGTCCTATGGCTCAGGCCCCTGGCCCTGATTTCTCTTCAATGGTAAGGCCTGTCCAGCCGTGGCTAGCCCTGGCTCACTCCTGGCTGTTCGGGGGACCAGGTGGAATCGGGGATCAAACCTGGAACTCCATCATAGACTGGTGGCTCCAGACCTCAAAGCTCCCCCTAACCCTCCAGTATCCCACCCCCAACTCCCAGGATTTCAGGCTCCAGAAGTCAGGCCCTTGCCGAGTTTCAGCTCTTGAGTGCCACCACCAGGGGTCGCTTTTGAGCAGAGGACAAGTACGATCCCCTCCCCCCGCAAAAGGCAAGCCCTAAACCCTAGAAACAACAGTAGGGAAATCCCTAAGGGGTGTGGCTCCAAAATCAAACACGAAATAAAATTAAAAAGTAGCAAAGAGGGGGCTGGAGCAATAGCACAGCGGGTAGGGCATTTGCCTTGCAAGCGGTCGACCCGGGTTCGATTCCCAGCATCCCATAGGGTCCCCTAAGCACCGCCAGGGGTAATTCCTGAGTGCAGAGCCAGGAGTAACCCCTGTGCATCGCCAGGAATCTCCAAAGCTGCCTAAACGCGAGACCTGCCAATGCCCCCCAAGCCCCCCCCTTCCCCCTCATCCCCCACCCCACCTCCTGTGCCAGCTCTCGGGGTCCCATGGACCTTAACTTCTAGAGGACCAAAAATTGCTACACAAATTACCTAAGAAGCCAAAGTCCTCCTGATTGTATCTAAAAGCAGTGTCACAACTCCACCTCTTTGTTTTTGTTCTGTTTTGGTTTTGACCACAGCGGTGGTACTCAGGGCTCAACCCTGGCTCTGCGCTCAGGAATCTCTTCCTCCTGGCTGGCCCCGGGAGCCTGTGGGATGCTGGGGATGGAACCAGAGTCAGCGATGCAAGGCGAGTACCCTCCCTCCTGGTACTGTCTCTCCAGCTCGACCCTCCCCTTTCTTGAAGGAATTTGAGGCAAAGAGAAAACTAAGGGGAAGTTATCGAATGAGTGAATAAAAGCCCAGAAAGCAGGTGAGCATCTTCCTGATGGACAAAAAAAAAGGTGAATTCTCTCTTCCTGGTGCTTGCTTTTCTCTACACTGAGGGTTGACAGATGGGCCTAGGGGTGGCTCAGCGTGGGAGAGCTCTTGGCTAGCATAAGTAAACCCCTGAATTTTATTCCCTGCACTCCAAATAAAAGGTAAAAAGGTACAGGTAAAGGCCGTCCCGTTGATCGTCGATTTGCTCGAGCGGGCCCAGTAACGTCTCCACTGGAGACTTTGTTGTTACTGTGTCTGGCATATCGAATACTCTCGGTAGCTTGCCGGGCTCTCCAAATAAAAATTTAATTTTAATAAATAAGCAATGGGGGGTGGAGGGGGGTGGAAAGATAGCACAGCAGGTAGGGCGTTTGCCTTGCATGTGGCCAACCCGGTTCGATCCCCAGCATCTCATAGGGTCCCCCGAGCACTGCCAGGACAGATTCCTGAGAGCAGAGTCAGGAGAAACTTGGGTTCGAACCCTAGCTCCCCATATGATCCCTCAGCCCCCACAAAAGTAATAAGGAATGAGGATCCGTTTATTTTTGTTGTTGTTGTTGTTGTTGTTTTGTTTCACACTCCACAATGCTCAGGGTTTACTCCTGGTTTGAAACTCAGGACTCACTCCTGGCTGTGCTAGGGGACCCTATGGAATGCCGGACATCAAACCCAGGTCGGCTACGTGCAAGGCAAAGGCCCGTCCCACTGTCATATGGCTCCAGCCCCGGAATGTGGATCAGTCTGGCTTTACCCTTCATTTGAAGGAAAAGAAAAGAAAAAAAAAAAAAACCCTGAATGGCGATGTCACCGGAGAGAAATTTGGAGTTAGCCGGGTCTTCAACGAGCTACAGTATAGGATTTGTATTATTGGCACTATCAACCTCCTTCCACTGCCCCCTGACTGATACCAATTCTGAAAGCAAGCGTCCTCCTGATTAGCTGCCCCAGCTATCGACCTAGAATCTTCCTGAAACTCAGCAATGAGTCACCCATTGCTGAAGCACATAGCTGTGGTGACACTTAATAAATTGGCATGCGGCCACAGAAACTTTGGCACAAAGCATATCACTAGAGAACGCGACCAGTAGAAGAACGCTATGGCTTCTGGCAGAGGTAAGCAGTACTGGAAGTTCCATAGTCTCTTCTGGGCTGTGTGTGTGTGTGTGTGTGTGTGTGTGTGTGTGTGTGTGTGTCTGTCTGTCTGTCTGTCTGTCTGTCTGCCTGTCTGTCTGCATGTGGGAGAATTTTTTTTCCCCAACTTTTCTGCTTCTTCTTCTATCCATATTCTTCTGAAGTGAGATGATTTTTGTATCATTATTGTTATGACGATTGCTTATACTGCTGTTCACACAAAAATTTTGTTCAGGTGACACTTAAGTCAATGTTTTCGCATTGTCAAACCTTGAACCGTACCAGTGTGAAAATAGCCATCTGAGGGGCTGGAGGGATGGGATGGTCCAGCAGGTTGGGCTCTTGCCTTGCATGCGACTGGCTTGGATTCAATCCCTGGCACCTTGGGTTCAATCCCTGGCACCTTGGGTTCAATCCCTGGTCCCCCAAGCACCGCCAGGAGTGATCCCTGAGTGCAGAGCCAGGAGTAAGCCCTGGTGGAGGTCTTGCCTCCCTCCCCAATGGATAAGTTCCTTGATGAACAGAGGGTATTGGAAGAGGAGGCCTTGCTCAGAGGAACTTATCCAGGGGACAATTGGCAACTCGATTTCATGCGGATGGCAGGCGCTCGGACGTTTGGGGTATGACTATCTATTTGTTCTTTTTCTTTTTTTCTTTTTGGGTCACACCCGGCAATGCTCAGGGGTTACTCCTGGCTCTGCACTCAGGAATTACTCCTGGCAGTGCTCAGGGGACCATAAGGGATGCTGGGAGTTGAACCCAGGTCAGCCGCGTGCAAGTCAAACGCCCTACCTGCTGTACTATCACTCCAGTCCCCTATTGGTTCTTGTACCCTGAGCATTTGAGCATTTGTCATTTGCTTTTCTGATCTCTACTGAGAAAGCGAGAGAGAATGGCTTGGTGTTCCTATGTACGTTAGAAAAATCTGGACACAGGAAGTCATTTTCTATCAACCAAGAAGTTGTTCCTTTCCATTTTTAGAACGGAAATGGCTATGGCATTTTATTGCTACATTACTCTACCTTTTGTGTTTTCTCTAGCAGCAAAATCACTTCACCCTTCACCCTTGTTAAGTAGGAGAGGACCCTTTTTTTAAAATTTTTTAATTTTTTTTTAAAAATTTTATAGTGAAACTCCATGAGGTACAGTTGTAGATTTACAAATTTTTGTGCTTGGGTTTCGATTATACAATGATCAAACACTCATCCCTCTACCAGTGCCCATTTTCCACCACCAAGGATCCCAGTATCCCTCCCACACCCATCCCCCCCATCCCACCGTGCCTCTGTGGCAGGGCATTCCCTTTTTTTTTTTTTTTTCACTCCAATTTGAAGAGTAATTTTATTTTGTTTTAAAACATAATTGCATTTTTTTCCCTTTATATTATTTTATTTTTTTTAAAGTTGTAGATTTACAATTTTTTGTGCTTTGGTTTCAATTATACAATGATCAGATACCCATCCCTCCACCAGTGCCCATTTTCCACCACCATGGATAATATCCCTCCCACCCCCATCCCCCCACCCCACCCCACCCCGTCTCTGTGGCAGGGCAATCCCCTGTGTTCTCTCTCTCCTTTTGGGTGTTGTGGTCTGCAAAAGAGGCATTGAGTGGCAAACATGTTCAGTCCATAGTCTACTTTCAACATGCATCTCCCCTCCTGGGAGGATCCTCCAAACACCCTTTATTTGGTGCTCCCTTCTCTATCTGAGCTGCCCTTTCCTCTAGGATACCCGGCTGGCCTCTAAGTTATGGAGTAATCCTCCTGGTGCTGATCTCAGCTATTCTTGGGTATTAATCTCATACTTTGTTACTTTATATCCCCCAGATGAATGCATTCCCTTTTGTTCTCTCTCTCCTTTTGGGTGCTGTGGTTTGCAAAAGAGGCATTGAGTGGCAATCATGTTCAGTCCATAGTCTACTTTCAACATGTATCTCCCCTCCTGGGAGGATCCTCCAAACACCCTTTATTTGGTGCTCCCTTCTCTATCTGAGCTGCCCTTTCCCCTGGAGTGCCCGGCTGGCCTCTAAGCCATGGAGTAATAGGAGAGGATCTTTTACTCCTCCAAGGTCTGGTCTTTTTTTTTTTTTTTTTTTTTTTGCTTTTTGGGTCACACCCAGTGATGCTCAGGAGTTACTCACTCAGGTGGGATGGGGGAGAGAGAGAGACAGAGAGAGATAGAGAGAGACAGAGAGAGGGAGGGAGGGAGGGAGAGAGATCTTCGAAGAATTTGGGAGAGAGAGATCTTCGAAGACTTTGGTTGGGTTGCCCAAACCTGCATGCAAAGCATGCACCCCTGACCATTGAGCTATCTCTCTGGCCCCTCCTGCTTTACTTGATGCAATGCATAGCTTTGGTCCAGTTAATTCAGGGCAAAACATCTTTTAACTCCATTTCCTGTATGGTTTGCTGGTTTAGAAAATGCAACCCTCCCCCTCAGTACCTTCACGTACATGTGGATGTTGTCTGATACGATCCTCTTTGGGCCCACAGGTTCCTTGGCTGAGGATCCTACCTTGAGGTGAGAGACAGCCCCACTTTGCACTTCAAGCCCATCTTCACCCTTGAACGTGCGTCTCCCTTGTCTCTCTGTCTCTGTCTCTCTCTGTCTCTGTCTCTCTCTCTGTCTCTCTCTTTCTTTGGATTTTTGGGTCACACCCGGCGATGCTCAGGGGTAACTCCTGGCTCTACATTCAGGAATTACCCCTGGCAGTGCTCGGGGGACAGGCCACATGCAATTCAAATGCCCTACCAGCTGTCCTGTCGTTCCGCCCACCCCCCTCTCTGTCTCTCTGATTACTTACTTGTTCTTATGAGCAGGTGTTCTCTCTAGAATCCATGTTTCCTTCTTTCTCCACCCCCACTCTCATCTTTCCAAATACGTATCCATTCAATAAAAACTAGCTTGCTTTTTTTTAAAAAGTTTCTGTTTCACTTCACTTAATCACTTAACTTCCCGTTAGTCGTCGATTTGCTCGAGCGGGCGCCAGTAACGTCTCCATTTGTCCCTGTCACGTGCTAGTGTAGCCCAATGGCATCTCTTCGCTCCGGGAACATGGAGGGCCTCAAACCGATCGTTCATGATCTTGACAAAGAAGTCTGACCATCTGGTAGGTGGGCGGCCACGCGGTCTCTTGACATCCCGTGGAATCCAATCAGTAACAGCTCTAGTCCAACGGTCGTCTTTAAATCTCATTACGTGACCAGCCCATCTGATTTTCGACACCTTGGCAAATGAGACAGCGTCCCTGATCCTTGATCGTCGACGGATGTCAGAACTCCGGATTCGTTCTCTCATTTGAGTGAAACGTGATATTCCAAGCATAGCTCTTTCTATTCTTCTTTGGGAGACCTGAATGGCGTTCTCATCTTGTTTGCGTAGGGCCCAGGTCTCTGAGGCATATGTTAATGCAGGAAGAACAGTGGAATCAAAGAGATGTGCCCGGAGCCGGAGGTTCTTCGTCCTCTTAGCTATTTCTTCGACGTTCTTGAAGGCGTTCCAAGCCGCTCTCTTCCTCCTGCGCAGCTCGGGTGCCAGGTCATTTGTCATGTTGACCTCTCGACCTAGGTACACATAGCTGTTGCATTCGGAGATGGTCGTTCCATTGAGAGCGAATGGGGCGTCAGGAACAAGGCTGTTTCTCATAAACATTGTCTTCGTAAGATTCAGCTGTAGTCCTAGCTTTCCACACTCACGGTCAAAGTCGGCCAGCATTTGTGCCGCTTGGCTGATGTTTGGTGTTATTAAAATAATGTCATCAGCAAAGCGGAGGTGGTGTAGTTGCCGACCATCTATCTTCACTCCCCTTCCTTCCCATTCCAGTCGTCGCATGATGTTCTCGAGGGTGGCACTGAAGAGTTTTGGTGAAATGGTATCACCCTGCCGCACCCCTCTCTTGACATCAACGATCACTTCTTTGTAGAATGGTGAGATCCTGGTAGTGAATCCGCAATAGAGCTCACGGAGGATCCTGATGTATTGGGCTTGAATGCCCTGATTGGCTAGGGCTTCAATGACCGCTTCCGTCTCAACAGAATCAAAGGCCTTCTTTAAATCAATGAACGTTAAGCAGAGCGGCATCTTGAACTCCCGAGAAACCTCAATGAGCTTGGTTACCGTGTGGATATGGTCGATGGTGCTGAATCCTTTGCGGAACCCTGCTTGCTCGCATGGTTGTCCTTCATCTAGTGTTCTGCCAATCCTATTCAGGATGACTCGAGTGAACAGCTTGTAGATGACAGACAATAGGCAGATCGGGCGATAGTTGCCAATGTCATGGATGTCTCCCTTCTTGAACAGTAGTACGGTCCTGCTGGTTTTCCATTGGGACGGAACCTTGCATTCAGACAGGTAGCGAGTGAAGAGCCGAGCCAGTGTATTGATGAGTACTGACGGCAGGTTCTTCAGGTGTTCAGGTCTGACCTTGTCTGGGCCGGGTGCTGTTTGCTTCTTTACCAACGAAATGGCGTGTCGGATTTCGGAAGGGAGAACGTTAGGAACAACATACCCATCCTGTGGAATTTGGTATGTCGGCAAGTGGACATGGCTATCGAAGAGATTTGAGTAGAAGTCATGGATAATCTTCTCCATTGCCGTTCTGGAGGATGTGATGGATCCATCAGGACATCGGAGGGCAGTCATCTTGGTCTTATAGTTGGCGAAGGACAGGCGGGCGCTACGAATACTTTTCCCGGCTTCTGCCGCATCTACCAGTACTTCTGCTCTTCTCTCTTTGAGGTCTTCCTTGATCGCATCTCTGCACTGCTTTGCGAGCTCGGACGTTAGCTTGCGGTTGCCTGAGGCATGCGCCAAACCACGCTGGCGAATTAGCTCAAGAGTTTTCGAAGATAGGCGACTTTTTGTGGCTATCTCTCTCTTGGCTATCTTTCTCCACCCCCACTCTCATCTTTCCCAATATGTATCCATTCAATAAAAACTAGCTTGCTTTTTTTAAAAAGTTTCTGTTTAAAAAAAAAAATGATGCTGGGGCTGGAGCAATAGCACAGTGGGTAGGACGTTTGCCTTGCACGCGGCCGACCTGGGTTCGATTCCCAGCATCCCATATGGCCCCCTAAGCACCTCCAGGAGTAATTCCTGAGTGAATGAGCCAGGAGTAACCCCTGTGCATTGCTGGGCGTGACCCCCCCCCAAAAAAATTTTAATTTTTAAAAAATTTTAAAAAGGATGCTGACTGAAGTGATAGTCCAATGGGGAGGGCGTTTGCCTTGCTCGTAGCTGACCTGGGTTCGATCCCCGGCATCCCATAGGGTTCCCCAAGCACCACCAGGAGTGATTCCTGACTGCAGAGCCAGGAGTCACCCCGGAGCATCACCAGGTGTGACCCAAAAAGCCAAAACTAAGAAAAAAATACTGATGTTCACATACAAGACATTAAATTTAGCCAAGAAAAACTGTGTGTGTAAGCGATGTAAAAATATAGCTTTCCTTTTTTTTTTTCTTTGTGGTCCCACCTGGTGATGCTCAGGTGTTACTCCTGGCTCTGCACTCAGGATTTACCTCTGGCCATGTTCAGGGGACCCTACAGGATGCTGGGGATCGAACCCAGGTTGGCCGCATGCAAGGCAAATGACCTATCCACTGTACTATCACTCCAGCCCCAAATTTCCTATTTTCTTTGATTACCAAAATCCCATATTTTTTTCTCTTTTCTACCTTATTCTTCTTAAGCATCACTTTATAAGTTTTAGACTTTTTTTTTCTTTTTGGGTCACACCTGGCGATGCACAGGGGTTACTCCTGGCTCTTCACTCAAGAATTACTCCTGGCGGTGCTCAGGGGACCCTAGGAGATGCTGGGAATCGAACCCGGGTTGGCCGCATGCAAGGCAAACACCCTACCCACTGTGCTATCGCTCCAGCCCCAAATTTTATACTTGTTTTTGGTTGTTGTTTAAATTCATTCCTCTCCAGGGACTGGAGAGATATGGGTTAAAAAAAAAAAAAAGCTTATGTTATGTGTATCTAATCTGAGTTCTATCCCTGGCACCACATATGGTCCCTTGAGCCCACCAGGAGCACAAAGCCAGGAGCAATCCCTGAGCACTGTTGGGCGTGCCCCCACCCCTACCAAAAAAGCAAAAAAGAGGTGGGGGGAATGAGGTGGCTGGCAGAGTCCCACTCGGATGACAAGCTCCCACATGGGTGTAATTTTTCTATTTCTGTTTTCTATTTCAGGAGAAAGATTGAACCCTTGGAGTTTGTGAATTTCTTCGACCCCAGACAGCTCCGGAAGGAAGCCTGCCTGCTCTACGAAGTCCAGTGGGGCAGTAAGAGCAAATGGACGCACACAGCCAGGAACACCACCCAGCACGTCGAGATCAACTTCCTAGAGAGGCTGACCACAGAGAGGCATTTCCATCCCTCAGTCCGCTGCTCCATCACCTGGTTCTTGTCCTGGAGTCCCTGCTGGCAATGCTCCAAGGCTATCCGAGAGTTTGTGACTCAGCACCCAAGTGTGACTCTCGTCATTTATGTGGCACGACTCTACTGGCACAGGGATGAACAGAACCGGCAAGGACTTCGGGAGCTCATTAACAGTGGAGTGACCATCCAGATGATGAGAATCCCAGGTACAGGAAGAAGCAAAAAAAATCTTGGGGGGGCGGGGCTGTAGCAATAGCAAGCGGGTAGGGTGTTTGCTTTACATGCAGCCGGTCCGAGTTCGATTCCCAGCATCCCTTTTGATCCCCCGAGCACCGCCAGGAGTAATTCCTGAGTGCAAAGCCAGGAGTAACCCCTGTGCATCACGGAGTGTGACCCAAAAAGTCAAAAAAAAAAATCTTGGGTGTCCATGACACTGTCAGGGGGGCTTCATTTCAGGCCAGGGAAACAGGAAACGGTGATCCCAGAAGGAATATGATGAAGCACTGTCCTCCCGTTGTTCATTGATTTGCTCGAACGGGCACCAATAACATCTCCATCGTGAGATTTATTGTTACTGTTTTTGGCATATCAAATACATCACGGGGAGCTTGCCAGGCTCTGCCGTGCGGGCGGAATGCTCTCAGTAGCTTGCTGGGCTCTCCGAGAGGGACGGACGAATCGAACCCAGGTCGGCCGTGTGCAAGACAAACGCCCTACCCGCTGTGCTATCACTCCAGCCCAAAAGGGAGATTGAAGTAAAAGTCCACATTAATAGGAGAAATTTTAGGAAACCATCAAAACTATTGTTTTGGTTTTTTTTTATAATTTTTTTTTAAATAGTGAGACATCATGAGGTACAGTTGCAGACTTACACATTTTTGTGCTTGGGTCTCAATCATACAATGATCAAATACCCATCACTCCACCAGTGCCCATTTCCCACCACCACGGATCCCAGTATCCCTCCCACCCCCCATCCCCCATGTTTTGGTTTATTTTTAACCCTTTTTCCTGCCCTGACCACTAATGTATCTCAACCATCTTCAAGTGAGATGCCATTTTAGGAATGCACAGTGGGGAAGCATTGTGGGAATATTTACACACACACCCCCCAAAAAATAGGCCAAGGAGGCAGAAGATATAGTACAGTGAATAAAATGCTGGCATTGGATGCAGCTGACCCAGGTTGGATCCTCACACGATCCTCCAAGCCTACCAGAAGTGATCCCTGAGCACAAAGACAGGAATAAGCCCTGAGAACTGCCAGGTATGGCTCCAAAACCAACAATATCTAAAGATATAAATATAGGGAGATAGGGGCTGGAGCAACAGTATAGAGGTAGGGCGTTTGCCTTGCACATAGCCAACCCCGGGTTTGATTCCCAGCATCCCATATGGTCCCACGAGCACCGCCAGGAGTAATTCCTGAGTGCAAAGCCAGGGGTTACCCCTGTGCTCACCGGGTGTGACCCAAAAAGTTTATAAAAGCATATACTATATATATATATAATTTATGTAGTGACCAATCAGACAACTACCATAAGGATAGAGGCACGTGCATTCAGTCTTCCTGGGCTTAACACCCGGCACAGACTACAGGTTCCTGAGTACCAAAAGTGACCTCTGAGCACAGAGCTGCTGGGTGTAACCCCAAAAAATAAAACAATGATAAAAATAAATAGGTTTTGGTTTGGGGTCCACACTAGGTGATACTCGGGGCCTATTCTTGGCTGTTGGCTAGCAGAGCTCAGAAGAGCAGGTGGAGTGCAGAGAAATGAACCTAGGTTCACTGTGCGAGAGGTAAACACTTTACTGGCTCTAATATGGCCCCCAATGGGTGTTTTATTAAGGGACAGGGGATGGGATGTCTGGGAGCCACATATGGCTGTGCTCGGTGGACCACATGCAGTATAAGAAATAGAGCAGGGGCTGGAGTGATAGCACAGCAGGTAGGGGGGGTAAGGCATCTGCCTTGCACATGGCCAACCCAGGTTCGATTCCCGGCATTCCATAGGGTTCGGCAAGCACCACCAGGAGTAATTCCTGAGTGCAGAGCCAGGAGTAACCCCTGAGCATCATTGGGTGTGACCCAAAAAGACAAAAATAAAAAGAATTCGAACATAGGCCAACCACATACAGTACAAGAATTCGAACCAAGGTCATAAGCACACGCTAGGTGTGCAGCTCTGCCTCTGGGCTGTCTCTTCAGTCCTGAGGCTTTATTTATATATATTTTTGCATGTGTGCTGTTTGCTTTTGGACCACACTGGGCTGTGTTCGGGAGTTATTCATTCGCTTAAGGGCCAGGGGACCAGGGGTTGCCAGCTGTTGAACTTGGATGGTCTGTGCAGAGCATGCGCTCAACCCTTTGAGTTTCCAGCCCTGAAGAAAATTTTCTTTGTGGGGTTGGAGAGAGAAGACAAGGAACAAGATGCTTGCCTGGCATGTCACATACCCCGGTTTCATCCCCAGCAGTCCATATGCCCCCCCCAGCCCCCCACCCTCCCCCATTCTGTTATTATTCCTGAGCACATCACCAGGGATATCACGATCATGATCACGACCATCCTGTTGTTCGTTGATTTCCTCGAGCAGGCCCCAGTAACGTCTCCTTCATCCTAGCCCTGAGATTTTTTAAAAAGTGCCATATTCAAGGCTCTTTCAGGGTTAGGAGAATGAGATCCATCATTGTTGCTGGTATTTGGCATATTGGGTACGCCACGGGGAGTTTGCCAGACTGCCGTGTGGGCAGGTTACATTCGGTAGCCTGCGAGTTTGTCCAAAGTAAGAATGAGATAATAAGATGTCGCACAGCCGCAAATTCCTCTGCCTTTGTGGCCTTTCTTCCTCTGCTGGTACCTTCATGCGTGTGGAGAGTGGTCTCAGCATGGTGGTGGCTGGTTCTGGAGGTCTTCGGTTGCCGGAGCCCTGGTCAGGGCGGGGAGGGAAACTCAACCTGCTCCTCTCCAAGGGGCCCCGGTGAGGACAGCCAGGCCCGGGGACAGGAGACTCTGCGCTGTTCTCTTCCGGGAGCTGGGTTTTATAGTCTATGGGTCTTGGCCGTTGATGGGATTACAGGGTGCCAGGGGGCCAGTTGGTGAGTGTGACCCCTGCCTACTGGAATATGGAGGATCTGGGTGGAGAATGCTCAGCCCCGATCTGAGCAGGCTTGGAGATCTCAGCCCCGGGACCCGCATGCCTTTGTTCCTCTGCCGGTATATAGCCCCTACAGATCTGGAAAGATTGTACAGCAGGTAGGGCGCTAGCCTTGCACAAGGTCAACCAGGTTTGGGGCTGGAGAAATAGTACAGTGGGGAAGGCATTTGGCCGACCTGGATTCAACTCCCAGCATTCCATAGGGTCTCCCAAGCACCACCAGGAGTAATTCCTGAGTGCAGGGCCAGGAGTAACCCCTGTGCATCGTCAGGTGTGACCCAAAAAGAAGGAAAAAAAAAGGAAAGGAAAGGTCAACCAGGTTTTATCCCTGGCACCTGGCACCCTCTCTGGGCCCACCGGGACCGTCAGGAGTGATCCGTCAGGAATGATCCGTCAACTGAGTCAGGAGTGAGCCCTAAGCATAGTTGTGGCCGCAAACGAAACGAAACCGAAACAAGAATAGTACCATTGGGTGTTACTCACTCTCTCTGGATTATTTTCCTTTTCATTTTTCTTTTCTTGGAGTGGGGCCACACCCCGGAGCGCTTAAGGGCTAATGTTTGCCACCTGCTGACCCAGTGAGTGCCGGCTGGCATTAAGCCCAGACCTCCTGTGTTAAAAGCAGGTGCTCTTCCTTTGGACCTTCAACCCATTGTGCTCGCTTGGGCCCCTGAGTTGTTTTTTGCTTTTTGGGGGGGGGGGGTCCTAACCCAGCACTCATTGATCACTCCTGGCAGACTCGGAGACCCTGAGGGGTATTGGGGTTCGAACTTAATTTGGCTGCATACAAGACAAGCACTCTGCTCACTGTTCTGTCTCTCCGGGTCACCGGAGTTCAGTTTTTCTTTGTTTGTTCGGCTTTTTGGGTCACACCTGAGCCCAGCGGTGCTCAGAGGCTCCTCCTGGCTCAGGAATTACTCCTGGTATTGGTCGGGGGACCATATAGGATGGTGGGGATCCAACCCAGGTCAGCTGTGTGCAAGGCAAATGCCCTCCCTGCTGTGCTATTACTCGAAACCCCTGAGTTGGTTATATTTTTTTCTTTTTGGGTCACACCCGGTGATGCACAGGGGTTCCTCCTGGCTCTGCACTCAGGAATTACTCCTGGTGGTGCTCAGGGGACCATATGAGATGTTGGGAATCGAACCTGGTTTGGTAGCTTGCAAGGCAAATGCCCTACCTGCTGTGCTATCGCTCCAGCCATGCCCTCTCCTCCCCCCAACCCCGCAGTTATTTTTAAGATGCACTATCTTAAAGTAAACTTCTGTCTCTGGACTCAAGGTGAACTCAAGGAGTAATTCCTGGCAGGGTTCAGGGAATCCTATGGTACCAAAGATCAAACCTGGGTCAGCCATGTGCAAGACAAGCTCCCTACCCACTGTACTCACTCTTCAGCCCTCTGTCTTTTTTTTTTTGACTAGCAAACTGTGCTCAGGGTTTACTCCTGGGGTACACACATATGAGGGGGGGAGGGCATATGCGTCCCAGGGAATCAAATTGTGCTCTAGCACGAGCAAGTCAGAAGGCAACTTTATTTATTTTTTTTTTCATAATTCACTTGGATTTATTTCAATTTTCACTCATTACACTAAACAACATTGCAAAGGTTATTTAACTTCTGTCTCTTTCCCATGAGGAGGATGATAGTAACAACTTACTGATAATAGGTGATAACACCCCCAAAAGGGTAGGAAGTATAGATCTTTTTTAATATAACTAAAACACATATTCATAAGCTCTAATTTTGTCTTGGGTCACAATTCTTGCTTCTAGTAAACATGAATACTCCATAATATGATTTGTCATATCCAAGTAACTAAGTAAATTCATTCTTTTCTTTTTTTATTAAAAATTTTTTTAATAGTGAGACATCATGAGGTACAGTTACAGACTTACACATTTTTGTGCTTGGGTTTCAGTTATACAATGATCAAATACCCATCCCTCCACCAGTGCCCATTTCCCACCACCACGGGTCCCAGTGTCCCTCCCACCCCCCATCCCCCCGTCCCACCCTGCCTCTGTAGCAGGGCATTCCCTTTTGTTCTCTCTCTCTTTTTGGGTGTTGTGGTTTGCAAAAGAGGCAATGGGTGGCAATCACGTTTGGTCTATAGTCTACTTTCCGCATGCTTCTCCCATCCTGGGAGGATCCTCCCAACAAGAAGGCAACTTTACCCCTGAACTATTTTCTCCTGCAAGTTGGGGTCTTGAAGTAAATTTCCATTGTATTGATTGAATGACATAAACTGTGCGTTTCCTTAGAGTATGATTACTGCTGGAGGAATTTCGTGAACTACCCACCTGGGGGAGAACAATGCTGCCCAAGATATCCGCCTCTGTTCCTGGAACTGTACACATTGGAACTCAACTTCATAATTCTAGTAAGTGATCACAGAGCAGACTTTGTTGCCCAAACGGTTCCTTCTGCAAACTTCTTTCCTGTTAACTTTGGGTTTTTTTTATTTTATTTATTTATTTATTTATTTTGCTTTTTGGGTCACACCCAGCGATGCATAGGGGTTACTCCTGGCTCTGCACTCAGAAATCACTCCTGGCAGTGCTCAGGGGGACCCTATAGGATGCTGAGAGTCGAACCCGGATCGGCCGCATGCAAGGCAAATGCCCTACACACTGTGCTATCACTCCAACCCCGTTTCCTGATAACTTTGATACATACATCCCTCACCACCTCTTTGCCATGCACATACAGACGGATTTTATTGTTGTTTTTTCTTCCAGTCTTTGAGTCAAAGCCTGCACTCAGGGGTCACTCTTGAACTCTGCACTTAGGAATTACTCCTGGCAGTGCTCAGGGGACCGTATGAGATGCTGAGGATGGAACCTGGGTTGACATATACTTGAAAGCGCCCCACACACTATACTATCTCTGCAGCCCCCAGAGTCAGTTATTTTAACTAGTTGGCCCATTCAAAAAATTATGAGGCTTGAGAGACAGTACAGTGGGAAGCCATGCATACACCCAACCTATGTTCAATTCCCAGCATCATATATGGGCCCTCAAGCCCTGCCAGGAGTGTCTCTGAGTCAGGAGTAAGCCCTGAACACCTCTGGGTGTGACCCCAAAACGAACCGAAAGTACAGCAAGTAGGGCATTTGCCTTGCATGCAGCTGACCCCGGTTTGGTCCCCAGCATCCCATAGGGTCTCCCAAGCACTGCCAGGAGTAATTCCTGAGTACAGAACCAAGAGTAACCCCTGAGCATCACTGGATGTGACGCAAAAAAAAGCCCCACCCCAAAAAATTAGCTTTGAGGGGCCAGAGAGATAGTACAATGGGTAGGGCACTTGCCTTGCACATAGCAGACCAAGTTTGATCCATTGCGTTCCATCTGGTCCCCCGAGCTCTCCAGAAGTGATGCCTGAGCACAGAGTCAGGAATAATCCCTTGAGCACCTCTGAGTATGGCCCCAAACCCAAAATAAATAAATAGGTCTTAAAACAATAACCTTGTTTTACATGGAGAGTATCATGCTGAGTGAAATGAGTCAGAAGGAAAGGAGCAGATATAGAATGACTGCATTCATTTGTGATATCACTGTCATCCTGTTGTTCATCGATTTCCTCGAGCAGGCACCAGTAACGTTTCCTTTGTCCTAGTCCTGAGATTTTAGAAAGTGCCACATTCGAGGCTCTTTCAGGGTCAGGGGAATGAGACCCATCATTGTTACTGGGTTTTGGCATATCGAATACGCCACGGGGAGTTTGCCAGACTCTGCCGTGTGGGCAGGATACTCTCGGTAGCCTGCCATGTTCTCCAAGAGTAAGAACTAGATAATAAGAGGTCATGCAGCCTTCCAGAGCTGGATTTTATAGTGTCTGGGTCTTGGCCGTTGATAGAATAACATGGCGCCCTGGGGCAGTTGGTGGGTATAACGCCAACCTACTGGAAGATGCGGGATCTGGGTGGAGAAGGTCCAGTCCCGATCCGAGCAGGCTTGGAGATCTCAGCCCTGGGTCCCATATGCCTGGGTTCTTCTGCCGGTTCCTTCATGCGTGAGGCTCTTTCGAGTTTGTGGAGAGTGGTCTTAAGCATGACTGTGGCTGGTTCTGGAGGTCTTCAGCTGCCGGGGCTCTGTTCGGGGTGGGGAGGAAAACTCAATCCGCCCCCCTCCAAGGGGCTCCTGTGAGGACAGCCAGGTGCAGGGGCAGGAGACTGCACTGTTGTCTTCCGGGAGCTGGAAAATATATTTTAATATATTTGTGATATTAAAATACATATATATATAACATATGTCGCCCGCACGGCAAAAGCCCGGCAAGCTACCGTGACGTATTTGATACGCCAAAAACAATAACAAGTTTCACAATGGAGACATTACTGGTGCCCGCTCGAGCAAATGGACGACAGTGCTACCGTGCTGCAACTCTCAGAGAGCCCAGCAAGCTACTGAGAGTATCCCGCCCACAGGGACAGAGCCTGGCAAGCTCCCCATGGTGTATTGGATGTGCTAAAACCAGTAACTGTAACAGGTCTCATTCCCCTGACCCTGAAAGAGCCTCCAATCATTGGGAAAGACTGGTAAGGAGAGGCTGCTAAAATCTCAGGGCTGGGACAAATAGAGACATTACTAGTGCCCGTGGGCTGGAGCGATAGCACAGCAGGTAGGGTGTTTGCCTTGCACGCAGCCAACAGGGCTGACCGGAGTTCGATTCCTCCTTCCCTCTTGGAGAGCCCAGCAAGCTACCGAGAGTATCCCGCCCACACGGCAAAGCCTTACAAGCTACCCATGACGTATTTGATATGCCAAACACAGTAACAAGTCTCACAATGTTACTGGGCCCACTCGAGCAAAAACGATGAACAACGGGAGGACAGTGACAGTGACTGGTGCCCGCTCGAGTAAATCGACGAACAACAGGATAACAGTGATACAGTAATATATGAAGAAGAATATCTATGGCCAGGGAAAACAGGGGCTAGGAGGACTGGTCAGTGGTTGGAACTAACCACAAGTGTGTGTGGGGCTGAGGGTCGATAAGATAGAGACCAGTATGACAATAATAGCTGGGAATGATCATACTGGACAAGATCTGAGGGTTAAAAGTAGGTAAGGGGGGGGGCACTGGAGTGATAGCACAGCGGGTAGGGCGTTTGCCTTGCACGCGGCCGACCCAGGTTCGATTCCCTGCATCCCATAGGATCCCCTGAGCACTTCCAGGAGTAATTCCTGAGTGCAGAGCCAGGAGGAACTCCTGTGCATCGCCGGGTGTGACCCAAAAAAAAGCTAAAAAAAAAGTAGGTAAAGGGATATTGTTGATAACCTTTCAGTATCAATATTGCAAACCACAAAGCCCAAAAGGAGAGAGAGAGAGAGAGAGAGAGAGAGAGAGAGAGAGAGAGAGAGAGAGAGAGAGAGAGAGAAGAAAAGCATCTATCATAGCAGGCAGGGGGTGAGGGGGTGGGAGGTGGGGGGTGATGGGAGGGACCCTGGGGACCCTGGTGCTGGGAAATGTACACTGGTGGAGGGATGAGTGTTGGCATACTGTATGACTGAACCCTAATCAGGAACAGCTTTATAAGGGTCTATCTCACAGTGACTCCATTTAAAAGTTAATTAATTAATTAACTAAAAATAACCTTGTTTCTTTATTTGCAACAGGGTCTTCCTCCCTGCATCAAGATTTCAAAATTAGGGTGGGGTCCGTTTGCCAATTTCAGTGTTATTCCTCAAAACCATCGTTCCCCTATGACCCCTCCCCTGTTTGGTATCTACAATATTGTAAAGCGTTTTCCGATGACCTGAAGACAAATACGATCATCCGCATGTATATGGTTTCAAGACTGGGCATTGGTGATCCATGGAAGAATCAAGATTCACCCTCCTCCTTTTATTTTTCCCTCACGAAGAGGATCTGGTAAACCAGGAAGGAACCCCGCCCCTCCCCCCACCCATCCTTCCACCAAAGCTGAAACCAGGGGGCTGGAGCGATAGCACAGCGGGTAGGGCATTTGCCTTGCACGTGGCTGACCCGGGTTCAATTCCCAGCATCCCATAGGGGTGCACCCCCTGAGCACTGCCAGGAGTAATTCCTGAGTGCATGAGCCAGGAGGAACCCCTGTGCATTGCCGGGTATGACCCCCACCCCCCAAAAAAAAATAAAGCTGAAACCAGGCCTAGAGAGTTCATGAAGGGGTCCAGGGGTTTGCCTTGCACACAACCAACCTGGTTCAATCCCCACATAGGGTCTCCGGAGCTCCCAACCCCACCTCAGGAGTCACTCCTGAGCACAGACCCAGGAATAATCCCTGAGCACTGGCCAGAGGGGACTTCGAAAAACAAAACTTGAAACAAGACCCCACCCCCCAAAAAATGGGGGGAAGGAGATGTACACACGTTTCCTCCAAGAAAACCTAAACACAGCCGCCAGGTCCGGGCAGAGGTATTCATTATCACTCCTTCTTGGGGCAAAGCAAGTCAAAATCACAACGAGATATCCAGAAGAGTGAGTGATCTGTATGGAAAAGACTGGAAACAATGAGTGATGGAAGGGGACTCTCAGAGACTGCTGGTGATACTCTTGTCTGGTTCGGTCTCTTTGGAAAAAAATGGCTTGGAGACATTTTGCAACTTTATGAATAGAATTTCCATAGAAAGGACCCAGGAGAAGACAAAAACATTCATCCTACGAGAACTGGGTGCTGAAAGTCGGTAGAAGGATATACGTGAGGGGCTGGAGTGATAGCACAGCGGGTAGGGCGTTTGCCTTGCACGCAGCCAGCATGGCTGGCCCAGGTTCGATTCCCAGCATCCCATATGGTCCCCCAAGCACCGCCGGGAGTGATTCCTGAGTGCATGAGCCAGGAGTAACCCCTGAGCATCGCGGAGTGTGACCCAAAAAGCAAAAAAGGATATACGTGATAACTTTATGGTACCATAAACCATAATAAACCAAAAAGGCGGGGGAAGGAGAGAGGAGAGGGGGAGGGAGAAGAGAGGAGGAGGAGAAAGAAGAGAGCGGCAGAGAGAAAGAAATGAGGATGAGAGAGAGGAGAGAGAGAGAAGAAAGTCTGGTCAAGGCAGACTGGGGTAGGGGTTGGCAGGAGGGAAACTTGGGGACATTGGTGGTGGGAAACGTACCCTGGTGAAGGCACGGGTGTTGGAACATTGACTGATGAAATCCCATCAGGAACAGCTTTGTAACTGTGTATCTCACGGTGACTGAATTAAAGAATAAAGAAATGAATCCTAAAAGAAATACGTTCCCTGGTCTTCATTGCAGCACTGTGTGCATTAGCTGAACTCCGAAAACACCCCAAGTGACAGGCCACGCAGTAACAAGAGACTCTTCGCTAGCTAGAAAGAGCCATGTTTGGGCAAAGGGTATTCGGACTCATCTGGAGAAAGGATGAGCACCAGGGGGTGGCCACCCAACGGGCTGCCCAGGGACACGCTGTTGGGCTCAAAGTGACACACAAGTGCCTCCTGCAACTCTGCGATAAGTTCCCTCACCCCTTCCTTGGCCTCTGGAGGAAGCTGTTCTCTCTCTCTCTCTCTCTGTCTCTCTCTCTCTCTCCTTTCTCTCTCTCCTCTCTCTGTCTCTCTCTCCTCTTTTTGTCTCTTCATCTCTCTCCTGTCTCTCTCCTGTCTCTCTCTCTGTCTCTCTCCATGTCTCTCCTCTCTCTGTCTCTCTCCTCTCTCTTTATCTCTCTCCTCTTCCTCCTCTCTTTTTCTCTCTCCTCTCTCTCCTCTCTCTGTCTCTCTGTCCTCTCTCTCTATCTCTCTCCTCTTGATTTCTCTCTCTCCCTGTCTCTCCCTCTCTGTCTCTCTGTTTCTCTCTCTCTCCACCCCCTTCTCTCCCCTTCCTCAAAATCGCTTAATAAAAGTCGTTTATTTTAGGGGCTGGAGAGATAGCACAGAGGGTAGGGCATTTGCCTTGCACGCGGCTGACCCGAGTTCGATTCCCAGCATCCCATATAGTCCCCTGAGCACCGCCAGGAGTAATTCCTGAGTGCAGAGCCAGGAGGAACCCTTGTGCATCACCAGGTGAGACCCAATGAGCAAAAAAAAAAAAAAAAAAAATCGTTCATTTTACTTTCCTGTTTGTCTCCTATGGAAATTCTTTTCTGTGAGGAAAAGGAGACAAAGCTAAGGAGCCTGGGTAAGCCCCAGGACTCCCGCCTTCCGTGCAGAGAGCAGTTCCTCGCTTGTCCACGCTCCTCAGGATCTGGTGGCTGGAATCATCTCCCATACCGTGCGGAGCCAGTGGGCGTCAGGTGCAGTTTGACGGCTGCCTAGTGGGGCTGGAGAGGCGTGAGGTCTGTGCTGTGCCAGGGTTCCTGGCAGACTTTCATCAGTCCTAAAGCTTCCAGATGCTTCCTGGGGTGACAAAGGTGCTTAGGGAGAAAGCAGGGGTTTCTGTCACCTCTGTCCTCCCTACTTCACACAAATCACCCAGGGAGCCTCCACCAACAACCATATTTATCATAAAGCATGATACCTCATACCTTCTCCAACCAGACCCCCCATCTTCCAGTAGGTAGGCATCACACCCACCAGCTGCCGCCAGCGTCAGGTTGGTCCCATCAATGGCCAAGACGCAGAGACTATAAAACCCAAAACCCAGCTCCCGGAAGAGAACAGCAGAGAGTCTCCTGCCCCCGCGCCTGGCTGTCCTCACCAGAGCCTCTTGGAGGGGGGAGAGTTGAGTTTCTCTCCCCGCCCCCCCCCAGCCCCGAGCAGAGCCCCAGCAGCTGAGGACCTCCGGAGCCAGCCATGGCCATGCTGGGACCACTCTCCACACGTCCAGAGGGGCCTCATACATGAAAGAACAGGCAGAGGAACCCAGGCATGTGGGTCCCGGGGCTGAGGTCTCCAAGCCTATTCTAATTGGGACTGGGCCTTCTCCACCCAGACCCCCCATCTTCCAGTAGGTAGGCGTCACACTCACCAGCTGCCAACAGCACCAGGTGGTCCCATCAACGGCCAAGACGCAGAGACTATAAAACCCAGCTCCTGGAAGCACACGGGTGACATCTTATTAACTTATTTTTCTTTTGGAGAATCCAGCAGGCTACCAAAAGTATCCTGCCCGCACGGCAGATTCTGACAAACTTCCCGTGTCATGCTCAACATGCCAGATACCAGTAACAATGATGGGGCTCATTTTCCTAATCCTGAAAGAGCGCTGAAATGGCTCTTTTAAAATCTCAGGGCTAGGAAGAAGGAGACATTACTGGTGGCTGCTCGAGGAAATTGACGAAAAACAGGATGATCGTGATCGTGATCGTGATGATATCTCAATAAACTGCACTGCACTGTCTGCACTGCCCTCCCATTGTTCATCAATTTGCTCTTGCGGGCCCAGTAACGTCTCCATTGTGAGACTTGTTACTGTGTTTGGCATATCAAATACGCCATAGGTAGCTTGCCGGGCTCTCCGAGAGGGATGGAGGAATTGAACCCCGTTAGCCAGGTCGGCCACGTGAAAGGCAAACACCCTACCCACTGTGCTCCAGCCCACCTCAATAAAAAATTTTTAAATAGCAATCTTTAAAAAATGGGATCGGGGCTGGAGCATTAGTACAGCGGGGAGGGCGTTTGCCTTGCATACAGCCGACCCGGGTTCGATTCCCAGCATTCCATATGGTCCCCCGAGCACCGCCAGGAGCGATTCCCGGGTGCATGAGCCAGGAGTAACCCCTGTGCATCGCGGGGTGTGACCCAAAAAGCAAAAAAAATAAAAAATAGAATCATCTGAATCCAGCTAATTATACACACACCTTTTCAACATTAAAAAAAAAAATGGAGGAGCTGGAATGATAGCACAGCGGGTAGGGTGTTTGCCTGGCACATGGCCGACCCGGGTTCGATTCCTAGCATCCCATAGGGTCTCCTGAACACTGCCAGGAGTGATTCCTGAGTGCAAAGCCAGGAAGAACCCCTGAGCATCGCCGGGTATGACCCAAAAAGAAAAAAAGGAAAAAAAAAGTGAGAAGCTGGAGAGATGGGACAGTGGATAGAGCACTTCCCTTGCACATGGCAGAACCGGGTTCGATCCCCAGCACCCCAATATGGTCTCCTGGGCCCTCCAGGAGTGATTTACAAGAGCAGAACTAGGAGTAAGCCCTGAGCACAGTGGGGTGTGGCCCCCAAAGCCAGACAAAGCAAAAAAAAAAAAATAGTGAAGGTCTGGAAAGAAAGTACAGTTCTAAGGCACTTGTGGGCCTGAGTATGACCACGGTCACAGTCCTCCCGTTGTTCATCGATTTGCTCAAGTGGGCCCAGTAACATCTCCATCGTGAGACTTGTTGTTACTGTGTTTGGCATATCGAATACGTCACTGGTAGCTTGCCAGGCTCTGCCGTGCGGGCGAGATACTCTCGGTACCTTGCCGGGCTCTCCGAGAGGGGCGGAGGAACCGAACTCGGGTCGGCCATGTTGGCTGCGTGCAAGGCAAACGCCCTACCGCTGGGCTATCGCTCCAGCCCACCGTGGGCCTGAGTGTGTCTAAATATTTGTCTCTGGGGCTGGACCATAGCACAGTCGGGATGGCATTTGTCTTGCATGTGGCCAACCCGGGTTCGATTCCCAGCATCCCATAGGGTCCCCCGAGCACCACAGGAGTAATTCCTGAGTGCAGAGCCAGGAGGAACCCCTGTGCATCTCCGGGTGTGGCCCAAAAAGCAAATAAACAAATAAACAGAATAAAATAAGCATTTGCCTCCGTTGATAAGTGGTTTGCACATAGTTGCCCTGGCATTTGTGTGACCTTCTCATTTTGTTCGACCAGACCTTTTGCTGGGCTGAGGGGTGAGGGTTCTGAGTCACAGCCGAAAGTGCTCAGGGCTTACTCGTGGCACTGTGCTTGGGGATCAGTCCTGGTGGTGTTCAGGGGACCCTATGAGGTGCTGAATCAGGATCAGTCGTGTACCAGGTAAGCCCATTACCCCTACACTATTGCTCTGGGCCTGTGCGTGTACTTGTAGAGCTTTATGGATATTTAGAAAATACCGATCTAGGGGCTGGAGCGATAGTACAGCGGGAAGGGCGTTTGCCTTGCATGCGGCCGACCCGGGTTCGATTCCCAGCATCCCATAGGATCCCCCGAGCACCTCCAGGAGTCATTCCTGAGTGCAAAGCCAAAACCAGGAGTAACCCCTGTGCATCACCGGGTGTGACCCAAAAAGCAAAAAAAAAAAAAAAAGAAAATATCCATCTAGCCTGCTGGGTATGGCCCCCAAGCACAAACGAAAACAAAACAAAACGAAATGTTGGAGCTGGAGAGATAATACAGCAGGGAGGGTGCTTGCTCTGCACATGGTTGACCTGGGCTTGATCCCCGGCATCCCATGTGGAGCCCTGAGCGCTGCCAGGAGTAATTCCTAAGTGCAGAGTCAGGAGTAACCCCTGAGCATCACCAGGTGTCACCAAAAATAAAGAAAAATTTAAAATGAAATGAGGGGGGCTGGAGAGATAGCACAGCGGGTAGGGCACTCGCCTTGCACATGGTTGAGCCAGGTTCAATTCCCAGCATCCCATATGGTCCCCTGAGCACCGCCAGGAGTAACTCCTGAGTGCAGAGCCAGGAGTAACTCTTAAGTGCAGAGCCAGGAGTAACTCCTGAGTGCAGAGCCAGGAGTAACTCCTGAGTGCAGAGCCAGGAGTAACCCCTGTGCATCGCCGGGTGTGACCCAAAAAGCAAGAAAATAAATAAGTAAATAAATAAAATAAAACAAAATGAAATGAGGACCATGGAAGGAAGGGAGGGAGGGAGGATGGAGGGAGGGATGGAAGGAGGGAGGGAGGGAGGAAGGATGGAGGGAGGGAAGGAGGGAGGGAGGATGGAGGAAGGGAGGGAGGGAGGGAGGAAGAGAAAGAAAAAAGAAATGAGACAGAAATAGGGACCAGAGAGATAGTCTCTGGTCTATCTTGGTGTGACCCAAAAAGAAAAAAAAAAAGATAATGCAGGGGGTTAGAGTATTGGCTTTGTGAGATGAAAGTTTTGGTCACTACCCAGTGTGACCCACACCCACTGCCCCTAATCGGACTCCTACTGGGTGTGGTCCCTCAAAATAAATTGGTAATAAGGTGATGATCGGTACCAGTGAGGATCAATAACAACGTCAACAGTTATTCTCCTAGGGAACAGAGGTTCAGGCAAAAGGGAAAAG